AGGAGGCTGAGGGGAGCCCTCATCGCTCTCTGCAACTGCCTGAAAGGAGGCTGGAGCCGGGGGGGGTCGGTCTCTTCTCCCCAGGAACAAGCGATGGGACGAGAGGGAACGGCCTCAAGCTGCACCAGGGCAGGTTTGGGTTGGGTATTGGGAAAAACTTCTTCCCCAAAGGGCTGTCAGGCCCTGGCCCAGGCTGCCCAGGGAAGTGGTTGAGTCCCCATCCCTGGAGGGATTTAAAAGCTGTGTAGACGTGGTGTTCGAGGACATGGTTTAGTGGTGGGCTTGGCAGTGCTGGGTTAACGTTTGGACTCGATGATCTTAAGGGTCTTTTCCAACCTTAACGATTGTATGATTCTATGAAAATGTGCCTGCTGCATCAGCAGCTGTAAAAATGATACGTGATTCCTGTTGGTGGATTAGTGAAGCACTGATGAATAAAATAAATTCCCAGCTGCTCCAAATAATCTCTCCTAGAAACGTGAATTTGCTCTACCTGTAGATAAAAAGAGAAACTTTCAGTGTTTTTTTGATAACATTAATTAAATCCTTTCTTTTTTCCACCTACTTATATTTCTGGCAGGAAGATACTGGCTGGGGTGAAAGCAGCAATTCTGATTCTTTTACTGAGCTGGCTATAACTGGTTTTGAATGAAGTGACTTAAAGTAATTTTGTTAACAACAGTGGCAGAATTTACTACTGATATTGGACTTTTATTTCTTTAATCAATTACCTACTCAACCTACATTCATTGCAATAAATACCTCACAGCTTCACTATATTCCAGTTCGATGCATTGGCATAGGAATTGTCCCAGGCCACAGATACTAAGATGACAGATATTAGGACTTGTCGGGAAGAGGGAAATAGGGGAACTTTAAACTGTTGCCCCAGACCTTTAATTTTCTGCATCTGGTTTCTCTTAGGTTCAGAATATGAATTCCCTGTTATAATTTATACATGAGGAATCAATGTAGAAAAGATTTAGGCCCATAAAAGTGCTGGACTTTTTACAACAACTCTTTCCAAATTGATTTTTATGGAGAACATACAGTTATGGCCAAATTCCAAACGTTCAAGTAGTGAACTCGTTTTTTCACAATGTTTGCCAAATATATTGTAAATCCAGAGGAGACATTTCTCTGACTGCACAGCTAAGCAAGGTTATTTTCTTAATACTTGTTCTTTACGTTAGAGTGCACCAAAAAAAAAAAAAAATCTCCATATAATTTCAGTAAGTGTTTTCCAATTGAATGGGTTGCATAGACTTGAAGTAAAGTTAAATATGCTCATGCAATCATAGTTTAAATCACAGTCCGAGTCCCTAACTGTATTGGAAAGCAGCGTCAGGACATGAAGCAGCATTTGATTCCTCTAGGTATTTGTCTGTGATCATCATCATTTGTCAGCCTTGCAAAAAGGGGAATAACTATATGGACAGTTTTATATTGTTCATTGTTTCAGTGTGGTTTTTTCCCTGAAAGGAGAGCAATAAGAATGGAAAAGGATCCTATTATATTTAGTTGCCAAGATCCAAACCTCATTTTTCAGTGAATTACTTTCTACTTTCCTTCCCAAGTTAGGCTCATAAATTGCTTACTGCCAGCAGGGCATGAAGGGGATTTCAGTTTGTTATTCATGGCACAGTGGTAACAGAGACCAGCTTCTTTTTCTCCATCCATATATTGGAGATCTTTAAGGGATCTTTACGGAGTGCTTTAACCATAGGAGGGATGAGATGCACGTTTTGGTCAGTTGGAGGCTACACATCATTAGAAGGAAAAAAACATTTCCCTGCCTGACGACTGATGTGGTATTTTTTGCAGCTTCATCAATTAAATGAAAGATGGCAGTGGCCTTTACAAGCATGTATTGTCTTGTTTATGTCAAAATCTCTCAGGCTAGAGCACTATTATTACCTAATTTCCATGGTGCTAAACAAGCCTACATCCCAGTTTCCTCGTTGTTTTTAAGCCAGCATCATTGTCAAAGAAAACAGCTATGCCTCTCTCCTCTTTCCCACCTGGCACACAAATTTACTCTCTGATGTGAATTTGATTGGGGAACTGAACAGGTTAAAACTCTCCTCAGAATTAGTTTTAAGTCAGATTAGTTGCTCATCCCTGTTTACCGCATGTATATTTGTGCTTATACAAGGAAGGGGGTGGGGGAAGATTGGCTGCTGGTGTGGAGTGATCCATAGACAGACAAATATAAGGTGGCACTGGAAATAGAAGAAATTACAATGGCAGTTAAATTTTTAGACTCAGGCCTCACAAGTAGCCTTCTTTCTAATATGATACAGCCTAGAAAGCTGTCACCTACAAAACATTGTTTTCCATCCTGATTTGTTTACTTGCTACGTACCATATGCTGGCTATACACTTGTAGTGATCGAAAACCTCGTTCAGCTAGTGGGCCAAGTCATGTGAATAATGAAATAGATCTAAAAACCTGTTTCATTTGCATAGTCATCTGCTGCAAGAGTTTGAAGCAAATTTTAAGCAAACAAATAATTATAAGGTCAATAGAAAATTAGATTAAATGTTCAGGCCTAACCTGAACCTTTTGCAGCTGTTTCTTCTGCATTAGGAAATACGAGTTAAAAAAAAGTCTTTTGTATAGACATTCCAGAAATGTTGTTATGGTGTCCCATGAGAAACTAAGCAAGCTGGAGAAGTAGATCGTATGTGAACTGCAAATAGGGTAAGGGAGTGACTAAAATGACTAAAGGAGATGGTGAAAGTTAGT